TTACCTTCGTTTTGGGAAATTGCGGCTAATGCTCCCACTATCATGGAAAGAATACTGCAAAAAAAAAACGATTGTTTGCCATGTCGGACCATAAAAACTTGAAGCGCAGGAAAGATATTTGGAAGTTGGACGTACTCATTTAAACCACCGATACTTCGCCCAGCCATTTTTCTACGACACAAGCAGTACCACGCCCGCAAGCGTTCACAGGTCGCCGTACTGCAGCCGCACGGCAAGCGGCAGCAGGCAAAAGAAGGCTGGCCCACACCAGTTTGCTTTTTTGGTGCAAGCAGGGCATCTCTGCCCTTAGGGGAAAAAAGGGGCTTGGCAGGCAGCGGCAATAGATATGGTGGTACGAAATCAGAAACCATCTCTGGAGCAAAATTCACAACACATCTGATGACTGAAGAAGAAAGATTTAAAAAAAAAAAAAAAAAAAACAAAGCAAAAAAACGAGAACTAAAAGGGCCCCTGTCATGTCTGGTGCCTATCAGAGAAGGGCAAAGGAACTGCAGTGCATGGATGTGGGATGAAATGGAGAAAATGCCTGAGAACAAACCACACCATAATATTCCAAGTAAATTCCCTCTTCCCCCTTGAGCACCCTTTCCCTCTCTCAAACACAAGAGAAAAACAGGATTTTGGGGGATGGCTGTCAAGAAAGGAAAAACAAGAAGCAGAGAAAAAATGGGGAGAAAAAAACCGGAAGGAAGCCCCCCACGCGGTGCGGCATGGTAATCAAGCCTGCTAGGGGAGAAAAAAAAGAAAGGAAGGAAGACCAAACGGAGCAGCATGGTAGTCAAGCCCGCTACAGCATATGCACAATTTGATAATGACCAATTACTGAGAGGATAAGTATTTCTTCAAACAGCGAAGCAGTATCTAGGAAGCAGTGGAGAAGGGGATCAAGTGCACAAGAGAGAGAGAGAGAGAGAGAGAGAGAGAGAGAGAGAGAGAGAGAGAGAGAGAGAGAGAGAGAGAGAGAGAGAAGGGTGCGTGACCATGGGCGTAGTAATTAAGGGAATGGTCAAGAGAAAAGAGCAATAAAGGTGCATCTTTACGCAAGGGAAAAAAGAGGGGGCGAGGGGAAAGAACAGAGATAACTTGGCCGGAGTTAAATTTGCAACTCGAAGTCTGAAAGTGGTCTTTAATTTATTTGACAATTTTCCACCTTTTGCTTATTTTTCAAAGAACGAATTTCTCTCGGCCACCAATTGCAAATGACAGACTGTAAATGTCTCGTTTGCTTTCAAGCAGTAGCCCGGGAGAAGAGAATAGACAACAGAACAGTCCATCCTTGTTAAAAAGGCTACCTCCACATATCTATGTACACGTGTATTTTCGATTTAAGCCTCTACCTGCCGCCGGTATGTACACGTGTCTATTTGTCCATTCCCGCGCATGTGCACGTCTCTGCTCTGTCTGCATATCTATCTACGACCGTTAATTTCCACATCCATATCCATATCCACGCACGCATGTATGTACACCGTCGATCAATCCAACATCTCCCGCAGAGACATCAATCACTCCTCCTCACTCCTCCTTCCTACCGGAACCCGCTTCAAAGTCCAAACGCTATCCCACTCTCATCCTCTAATTCCACCAACCAATCAGCAACCCATTCGCTCCCCCTCCCCCTCCCCCCAACCTCTGTGTGTGTGTGTGTGTGTGTGTGAGTGTGTGTGTGTGAGAGAGAGAGAGAGAGAGTCTGTGTGTGTGTGTGTGTGTGCATAAGTATCTATCTCTGTGCGTGCCGACGTGTAGGTGAGTATGTGTGTGTGTGTGTGTCTGTGTGTGTGTGTGTGTGTGTGCGTGTGTGTGTGTGTGTGTGTTGTAATATTCGCTATACACTCAAAAAGCATGACTGTGCCGAACAGACTGTTTCGTCGGACTTTCACCTGTGCGTATGTATCTATCTCTGTGCGTGCCGATTTCGTCGGACTTTCACCTGTGTGTATGTATCTATCTCTGTGCGTGCCGATGTGTAGGTGAGTATAGGTCGATCGATCGGTCGACTTACCAAGAGAGGAGCACGATATAATAAAGAAGGCAATCGATTTAAGTGCATCGTCGTGAACCACAAGGGGAAGGTGCCCGTTCACAACGTGGCCCCTTCTAATGGAAGGGCGGGAGAGGCCTTAGTCGTTTTGCAGTGTGCTTCCTCTCTTGCCGCCGCCAACGGAAAGGTAAACCGCGACGACTCCAGGATGTGCAATCCCGTAGCACACAATACAATTAAGACAGCCAGCCTACCGTCTTCCCCCGAACATAACGTACGCTGAAAATGAACGTATACAAAGTATGTTTGCGGCCCGATACAGTCAAATTGAGGGTACGTTGTGTTCGGGGGAAGAAGGTAGTGGACAGACACACAGACGGACAGAGAGACGGACAGAGAGACAGACAGAGAGACAGACAGACAGAGAGACCGACAGAGAGACAGACAGAGAGACAGACAGACAGACAGACAGACAGACAGATATACGGACACTCAGTCTGAGGGCCGCAGCTGATGTGCCTTCAAGGATGAGTAGCAGCTATGACTTCCCAACCTCTGCTAATGTCTATGTGTCTACGTGTGGGAGAGACGCACAGAGACAGCCGGTCTGCCTCCATCAAGGACAAATCGCATGTCTAACCTCCCGCAGTTGTCTACATGACGTCGCCCGCACAACTTTGAGAGCGTGTTCGTCTACGCGTCAGAGTCAGCCACGTACGTTTGTCATCTGAATCTTTCTTTGCATGGTTTCCTCAGCGTTTGCGGATGTCAAACAAAGAAAGATGGGCAGATCGTATATTCCCTCAGCGTTTGCGGCTGCCGTCATTTCCCTCAGCGTTTGCGGATGTCAAACAAATGCGGACTCGATCTGATATCAGCGAAAGGGGAAGAACACAATAGAGAAACACACAGCAAATGCCACCGATGTCAATTGCCCTCAATCACTAAGGATAGGCCCCCCGCATCACACAGAAATGCCGGCTTTGACAGCAAAGTCGGGGGAGAAAAAAACCGTGAAAAATGCCGATGCTCATCGCGCGAGGGAGGGGTCAAAGCATCGCCCTGTCGGTCATCTGTGCATTGACCGCTATGATCATTTCATCATAACGTAACGGAAATCTGTGCGTTGACCGCTATTTTCATTTCATCATAACGTAACGGAAAAGGTGCAAACGGAAGTCACGCCGGCAATCGCCAGCCATACGTATCTCCATCTCTCCTCCTCAGCTCTGTGATTCCTACTCACCCGACCTACCGTCTTCCCCCGAACACAACGCACCCCGATAATGAATGTATCAAAGCTATATTTCCGGTCAGATACAGCCAAAAAAAGGGTACGTTGTGTTCGGGGGAAGACGGTAGCGGCGGCTATTGTGGAGGAGGAAAATAGACAAGCATTTGTTAATCAGGACCACAGCGGAGACACCACCAGGTCAGATGTTAATGACGCGAAGACAGGAGAACGTCGGTCGACCACGCAACGCAAAGGGCCTCGCTCCACTACGCTCGACATGCACAAAAGAAAAAAGTGATGGCGGTGTATCTTTCCATGTTCTAGCGGAAGATTCACTCTCGTTTTGCACATTTCGAGAGAGTAGTGGAGCGAGGCCCAAAGGCAGAGTAGAATTCTTCTTGAACGTATTGCGCCGCGGTTGCTGCTGAAGGAGACAGGCGCTACAAAACCAAGTAGCATCTGCTTGCTGCGCTATGGCTGCTGCCAAGAGTAAGAAATAACAAAGATGCGCGCCGCTGGCGCCCTCCGTACAACCAGTCGGGCAAAGCACGATTCTTGGACGCGCACATACCTACCTCGCTGGCATCCCCGCCAATGAAGGCATATAAGTCGGGCAACTGTGACAGCGAACGAGAATAGTGCAGGAGGGTCAAAACGGTGCGCCAATGACCCGATGACACGAAAAAAAGGCGTCACACATATACAATCTGTAGTAAGAAAAGCCGCGCTCTCCCAAGCCTACCTACTGCGCTGCTCTGTGTGTGTGTGTGTGTATGTGTGTGTGTGTGTGTGTGTGTGTGAGAGAGAGAGAGAGAGAGAGATCACTAAAATAAAACGCCAATATCCCCGCAGTGGACGTAGGAAAGAGCGCGACTACGGTAATCCCGCGAACTCAACGCACCCTCTTCATGACAGAATCGGGCTGGGAAAGACAGCTTGATACATACATCATCAGGATGCACTGGCCGGGGAAGACGGTAGGTAGGCGCTAGGAGGGCGCAAACTCAAAACCAGGGACACGGAACGATGATGCATGAATCGAAGAGAGAGAGAGAGAGGGGGCGGGACGCTGAGCGTACAGTACTTTTCTCGTCATTTCTTCGTTACTAATTACTACAGTAAATTGACTAATTACATGTTTCATGCAACATCTCCGCAATCGGTCGTTGCGCGTAAGTGCTGAGATGGACCAGCTAAGATTGATGAATGTCTCAGGCCATGAATGTCTCAGG